TTTTCAATTGTTCTTACATATAGTGAGGGGGAAGAAAGAAAAAAAAAACAAAAAAACAAACCCACCCCCCCAAAAAAAAAACCAAACAAACAAAAAAAAGGAGGTGTATTACCTAGGTCATAAAAGGAATGGATCTGAAGTAGTTGTGTGATTTGAGACAGTGGTGCAGTGATGGGAAGGGGAGGAAAAAAATCTCTTGCTTCCTTTATCCCACATCTTTCCAAGATTTCTAATCTGAAATATTAATTTTTGGTCTCTACAATGGATACTCAGCCCTTGCACAGTCTTATTTTCACACATCTTTCCCCACTAAATTAAACAATTCCGCCACGAAAATACCTTTCCTGAGCTACAGCCACTGTTCAGTACTACTGTGTCTTAAGTCTGAAACATCCTGGGTGTTATCTCTGTCCTGGACTAAAGTTTCTTCCTCTGCATGTTTCCTTGCCCAGTGATTTCAGGTCTTACACTTACTGTGCATTCCCATCCCTATTCCATGACTCGTCTCCAGTGTCTTATATGTGATTACCTTGGCTCTCACGTCCCTGGTCTTTCCCTGATCCTATTTCAAGTGACAGCTACTTATCTTCATTTGTGCAAAAGCAGTATTTTCGAGTTCCCATTAGAGAGACATAATGGTGGAAGGAAGAAATATTTTCAGAGAGGAGCAGCCAGCCATGCTGGGTGTTACAGCAATGTAGAGCAGAGAGGAGAACAGATGGAGTGCCCTCACAGTAACGCTGAGGAACCCGGCTGGTCCTTAGGACACACTGTAGCGAATGGCCACTGACACAAGCAGCAGCCTGTACATACCCACTCTCAGGGGCTGAGGGTATGTGTGGACCACTGTAGTTCTGCTGATGACATCCCTGCAAACACTTAGGACAAACTGAACTCCCCTCTTATGCCACAAAAACTATATTATGTTTGATGTAAACTGGAGTGACACAATCTTGACAGATCTAGAGCTACATAAAGAGAAATCTCTGCAGTACGGGGAACTGGACCACTGAGGTGTAGGTTCATGTCTTAAGTCAGATGCAGCTCCTTGCAAAATTCTGGAAGTTTCCTGACTTTTCGTCTGTCACTTGCAACTGGAAACACATGGTTTGGGGAAGACAATTTATACTGGATAGGGACAGAAGAAAGAGATGGGCAACAGTGCAGGAGCTCCCCTCAGCTGGATATAACCTTGTCCCAGGGTCAGCAAAACCACAGGAAGCTTGTATGAGAGCTCGCAGCAGTCACGAATCTACCTGTCTGATAGGAATTTTAATCCACTGATCACTCTGCTTTCATTTCACCAAATTAATAAGAGCTTTATATATTTAAGGTTTTTTACATTTGCTGATTCACATTCAGTAAAGATAATTAGCGAGCATCTCTACTAGCAATACAGAACCCCTCCTGTGTAAGCCCCTTTCATGTGACTTGTCCCATTTGCCTTTTTTTCATGGCTTTTATTTGCTACTAAAGGAATAGCACATGTGAAGTGATGTTTGAGATTTAGAGTATTATAGCAGCTGACTGCTACGTGATGACTTTTTAAAGCTAGGTCTGAGAAAATCAGAGTGCATGAAACCGAATTGTAAAGATTCTGACTACAGACACACTAATCCTCTATTAAGGCAGAGCTACTGATAGATTAACTCATTAGACTAGATGCACACTAGTCTAGATATTCAGAAAAAGAAGCTGTGGTTACATCCCTGGGCAGGCTTTCATCTGCTTCAACTAGACTAGAACTGTCATGGCAGGCTGGAAATGCTCTCCTCAGAGTCAGTCTTGTTACTTAAAATACAGTTTTGCAGTCAAACTGCAAAGAAGTAAACATAACTAAAATTGTCAAGTTAGGAGCTCAAAAGTTATGAAATGCCAGACTAAGTTTCCTTTTCTGAATTATCCCTCTTCCCCTCCTTTCTTGTCTTACAGACAGTGCAGAAAATGCAAAACTATTCAGTGTTTTGTAGCTGCCTTATTTTTTACTGCATGACCTCAGGCCTCCATTGAAAAATGTCCAATACAAATTAAGAAAAACCCAGCATCCTGGTGGATTATTCTGTGACCCAACATTTATTTCAGATGCATCACAAATAACAATTTTTGGAATACCTGTTAAGTGAGACATCTATATAGACTTCATTTTCTATTTGGAGATTGACAAGATTAAGAACAAAGGTGTCTATGAAATACAAATGCTGTGTGTGAGACATTTTCAGAGAGAGCTTTAAATTTCCTTTTGTATCACACTTCTTTTTTTTTCAATATTGTGCTTCCACAGTGTTCTGTTCTGTTTGTTCTCAGCACACCTAACTGGGAACACCCAGAACAAAGTATTAGTAGAAGATACTTGTAATGTTTTCACAACTATAACATGAAAAATTTAGGACATGAAGGAGGGACACAAATTTTAAGTAAATATGAGATTTTTCTTTTCATTGAGTATGTGTGTTCTACTCATTGCTTAGAGAAGTCAGAAGCACTCTCCCCTCAGCTTCGGGGTAAATGAAGTATGGACAGAAAATGTACAAAATAGGGCATGATAATAATTGTTTTATAATGCAGTCATAAGAAATTTGAATTATGGTTTACAGACAGCCTTGACTTTGGTACTTTTGACACAATAACATTTTAACTGTCTGATGTGTTTGTGGTATTTTACTCTAAACTGAAAAAAGACCCCCAAAACAGAAAGAAAATCCAGTATATGACATCCTAATTGTATTTATTAGTGATTAGCAGAGATGCAACTGTTAGCTTTGGCATATAGATCTGATGTTTAATTAAAACCATGAACAGCAAATAGCAATCTAGTTTCATTACATTCTAGTTGTGCCTGAAGCAGAGGAATATAGGGCACTGTGACAAAAGGCTTCACAGATACTTCCTGACAATGAAAACCAAACTTGCAGCTCTTTAGGGGGAAGCCTGCTCCCTTGTGAGCATGTGCTCCTGCCTGTTCTCTCCAAACCTATGTTTCTTAGGTACAGCTACTGTCCTGTCCATAATGCTATCACTTTTTCCTTTTCTCAGCTGTCATTCTCATCACTCTGTGTTCCCTCTCTTTCCACCTAACTTCCGATCTCATGAACAAATCATTCAGCCAGGCAAACTCAGCTTTCAACACTCTGTCTGGACCTCCTGCTTCAACAAACCTCAGTTCCTCCCCTGCTGATGCCCTACACAATCCATCTCTGTTGCTCCTCTTCTCCATCACCGTTTTCCATTTGCTCATGTTCTTTATTGTTCTTTCTATCTATATACATTCCTAGTTGTGTCTTAGCTTCTGTGATACTCTCAAGAAATTTCTTTAGTACTAGTTTTCTTCACATACCCAGACTTCACTCCATGTACTGTCTTCATCTTTCCCTAAGATTTTTTTTCTTAGTTTCCATCTCTTCAGCCAGTTTCCCAACCAAGACAGCCCCTCTCTGCCTCCAACCTCCTCTAAAGCCATCTAGCCAGTTTCATTTTTCTATCATAGAATCACATTTTGAAGGCAACCCTTATCATTCTAATCCATTCTGTTTCTCCTCACTCACGAAAGAAGAAAAAAACAGGGCTTACATTGTTTCATAATGTTTTCCTGATTTTGTTCAGATCAAGTAACATCTTCAGAGATGTCAATCACACAGACTGTGTTCAGATCAAGCAACACTGTAACAAAGGTTTTAGTGACATTGTTGGTCCAGAAATCTTATGCACATGAGAAGTGAAAAATTTTCTACTGTCCCAGGATTGTCAGCTGTGAATTTTACTGCAAATCTTGTTTTAAAAGAATGAAAAATGTTCTGACAAATTAAAATTCTCCATGCAGTGTGTAATATCTTCCTTCTGTCACCTGATTACCACATTGCAGGTGATGACTTGTCATTGCTAGAGACGCTTTGCAGAAGGTGGATGTCATCAGCCTTTCCAGAGGAAGGAGAGATTTTTCCCCTATGATTTCAAAAAAACTGAATTTGGGCAGCCACCTCAAAAGATGTGACTCAGTCAGAAGGCACTAGGCAGCAGGGGATCAACTGAGCAGCGAAGGAGATGTAGAGCAATACCAGAGAAAGCTGAAAAGCCAAGCCAGTGTCAGGAGCTGCAGGGGGAGTGAAACGAAAGTGGATATATACTTTGGGAGATGGGAACAGAGTACGAGATAGGAGACTGAGGAAAAGGAAAGAAATTAGGGAAGTAACCTGCTTTTTCATCATCTAGTGCTATACCAGACAACAGACTTGTTAACACCTTGGAAAACTTTGTCTCGGTGTGACTCAGGAGCACAAGTGTTGGTAGACATCTTCTCTACAAATATGTTGAGTGGCAAGTCCCTAGTTCACTTTTGCTGTTGTTTAGCCTTGATTCACTTCCCCAGTGGCTGGTCCTAGCCAAGAACCTATTGCATAATTCTGCAAATGGAATGGCTGGTAAATGACCAGTGAGCCAACCTTTGAGAAAAGACTTCAGCTTTGCTACAGCTGCCATTCTGTGCATCATCTTAAAAAGTTCATCTATTTCCATCTGTGTATCCACTAGAAAATTTTAGTCTTAAGGAGTATCAGGTACCTGGCCAAGTGGTTACAATGAGACATCAGAATTTCTAACAGCCACACACTATTTTTCTTTTTATTACTTTTGCACGGTCAAAAACTGCTGCTTGAAAGTTGCTTTTATGGTGGTGATGTTTAAGTTTTGTGACATGACCTTAAAGTATAGTGCAGGAACATTATAACTACAAAATATTTTCCTTAAAATATACTCCATGTGGTTTGTTTTGGTTTGTTTCTTTGTTTGTTTGCTTGTGTTTGTTTTTCCTGAAAAATTAGCATCAAGATTCCCTCCATTACAAACAAACCCAAAAATTAACTTGCAAAGGCAAGGAAGCAAATTTACTTGCTCACAACTACATTGCCTTCTGCCAATATAAGAAAATAATCAAGAAAAACACTAAAAGACATGCATTCAGTTTCAAAGCATGAAATTTTCTAGAACACATATTTCTAGCAACTTACTTTCACTGGCTGAATAGTCCTGTGGATCGAGTATCCCTGACTCCTGCAGTGATCTAATACATGAGTCCACCAGCTCCAGACCAGTGGTGAGTTCATCTTCTATATCCTTCTGACCATCTGGGATAAAATTAATAACATGAAAATGTCAAAGAAGAGCAAAAGATAAAACCAGTTACAAGACATGGTAAAACCAGTGATATGTGAGTAAGCATTCACAGTTGATGAAGGACTAGCTGACAGCAAGATCACACATTCAGAGGAGGTTGGCCATACTGAAAATTATGCCATTTTTTTGAAAACAGAATGATAAAGTTCAGGTCTAATCTTAAGAAAACTAGAGACACGTTTAGCAATGCCCCCTCTCAAAACTCTACGTTAGTTTCAGTGTTCTTTTTGTCAACCATAACAACTTTTCACAAATTTTGCCAGCTTTTAAGTAGAGTTTTCACAAACTAGCAATGAAGAAAATCCACATGTAAACAACAAAAAACGTTACATAAATAAATGGGTTTTCCACTCCATCTTATTTAGGAAAAAATGATCATTCTGAGAGAGAATATATGCAATACATATATGTAGATAAGTACATTACCTTGCGTTTGCCAGTGAAACTGTTCTTCTGTTGAACTGAAATAAGAAAAACAAAAGTTTTAATTTTTAATTAAACGATTCTGTAGTGTGCCATGAATATTTAGATGTAAATCTATTCTGAAGGAAATGATTTAATAAAAGAACTGACTTAATAATAAACAACATACTTAAAATACATAATTTTACATATTTTTTAATGAATGACTTGCACAGCATTCACTCAGCAGGAGGGAAGAATCTTTACTTCTTAATCAAGAAATTTAAAACATATATATAGAAAATGCCCTCTTGGTCTTGACAGACAAACTACACTATTTCAAAGCAAAAACATGAACACACTTAGCTTTTTTGGATCCTTCCATTTGTCTGATTCTCCATTTTTATAGAGAAAACTATAAATGGTTTTCTCAAGTGAATAGTTACATGTGATTTCTAAAAGAAATTATGATTCCTGGTTCTACTGATGATTATGTGCATTTTTATATTATTCAAATGTGCAGTTAAGTTAATTCAATTGGCCTACACAAGAGAGTAAATTTAGATGTGTTTGTGCTTCTATGTACAAAGCACTTAAGCAACAGAAGGTCCTAATTTCAATATAATGAGCATGCACACTAGAGGATTGGTTAGGTAGGGTTTTTTTAATATAAAATGAATGATATATTAAAATGAATGATACAATGAATTATATATTCAATTAGGCAATGAGTACACGTTCCTAAAAGTTGTGTTCTGTTCATGCTTCAGTATAGGTCTTTCTCACATGCCAAGAATACAAAAAGGATTGAAGTTACTCAATACTAACCATTCTTTTGATAACAGTGAGCTGATTATTACAGTAATGATTAAAACATTTTTCTGTACATTTTACAAGATATTTACAGGGAAGAACAAAATTAACTGTCACATCCATCGGTTAAAAAAACAAAGACTGAAATTATTTTAACTTTTCAAACAACTATATTTATTTCTTTCTGAAGTTGAGAATAAATGCTATTTTTAATGAGTAAATGGATTTAAATCTTGAATTGTTTTCCCTTTTTCCAACAGATGCTGAATCTCTTATGAATATGTGAATATACCTCCTAGTATCTATGTTCTGAACAGTAATAATGTAAATGAAATTAAATGCTTCTTTTTTGAGATCTAGTTTTACAGTAAAGAACTTGTGTTAATTATTTATCAGATTTGATAGTGCTAAAACAGAATAATTACCTAATACACATAAAATAGTTCTAAAAGGATTTTTAATTTCTAGGTGACATCATAAGTGCTAACCTGACAAATTCAAATCTATAAATCATCCTCAATTTCCAAATACCTATCATCTCTGGTTTATAGTGACTCACTGTAGTGAGATTTCATAGATTAAGAAGACAGTCCTTCAAGGAGACAGTCAACTAAAATGCTTGCAATTCATGTCCACTGAAGTTAACAGTACTGAAGATAAACATTGCCAGAGTCCTCTGACAAAAAATAATAATTGCAAAGTTACTGGAATAAATGACTTTAATTTAAATTACCTTTTGAAATAGTGGGTGGTGGAGACTACAGACAGTTTTTGAAATAACACAATTTGAAATTCCTTTTGCCTGATTTTCAAAATCACTAAATAACTGCAGCTTCAGCTGACAAACTGGTACTTGAGACTGATCTTCCTTTCTGTAATTACCATAATCCATAATAAGTAATATATTACTTTCCACTATACAGTCCCTCTTCCAGTATCCAGATTTCTATGTGATAGATACCACCTCAACAGACAGAAAAAAAAATGCAATGTCTCAGGTGGCATTCAGTCTGGCAGAATGAATTACTAAATGTTGCTGGCAAGAACACACTGATATAAAAGCCTATGCCACCTCATCCAAATCAGCAAGAAAAGAAAATCAAGTCTGTGCATAAAGAGTGAATTATCATTTCCAAGAATTCCAGCTTAGCCTTTTTTAAGCAGTAAACTTGTACAAAATGTAACTAAGTTCATTATGTTCAATGAATCACTTGTGGTTAATTAGTAGTGATCCCTAATATCACTCATCTGACTTCCATAGGAACATTATAATGTATTCATATTAATCTTAGGATTGCAATAAATTTTTACTACATTTTGGCTTTTCAAGTTTTAATTACAGAATCACAGAATATGCTGAATTGGAAGGGACTCCGTAAAGCATAGTCATGCATCTCCTCATCGCTACTGTAATGGTCTTTTAATAAATAATGTAACTCTTATAGTCAAGGTAACAGATCTACCACCAAAACTTTTATCCAAACGCTACCTTCTTGGTGTATGTAGACTATGAAACAGGCTGCCAAGGGAAGTGGTGGAGTGACCATCCCCAGAGGTATTTAAAAGATGTGTAGATGTGGCACCTGGGGATATGGTTTAGTGGTGAACTTGGCAGAGTTAGGTTAATGGTTGGATTCCCTATTAAAATTGTATTTGCTCCTACAAGGATATCAATATATTCTGGTATGAAAAGAGTGCTATTTTCCCTAGTAAATTCATGATCTTTAGCTTTTGAACAATCCAGTATAGTTGCATACTAAGCTGCCATTTCTAAGTTACAAACCAATGCCTCACCCTTGCAGAGAAACATCTAAAGGGTTTCCCTAGAAAAAACTTTATTAGAATTTGCCATAGTTTAAATTTATATACTTTGCTTTTTTATATTGTTTACTTTTTTTTTTTTTTTTAACTGAGCTTTTCCTGCTTTTGGCCTGAAAAATATTCTTGACTGAAGCAACCCGACGTGTCTGTGCAGGGAGCCTTTAGGCTGTCACAGAACTGTGCCAAATCTGCTCGAGTGAATAAAAGGGTGCACTTTTTTGTCCTTTCCTTTTAGATGTTTTCCAGCTTCACAAGAGATCAGTACAACTGACTATGCACTCCCATCAAATACATGAAAAGACAAAAAATAATAATTAACAGAGTACTCTCCTAATAAATTTTTCAGCAAAAAGTTTTTTGATTTATAGTTTTTCTAAAGAAAAAGTTTTAAATTCATTATCAACCACTTTTCTGCATATTCCTATGTCTCATTATATAAGCTTGCAAACTCTAGCATCTTTGACTGAGGAAGCTGAGCAATAAAATACTTAATCAAGATGTCCTGAAATATGGAAACCTGGACCCACCTTAAGAGTTTGAGGAGGGAATTTTAACCAGAATTACACTAGTTTAGTATTAGAAAATACTAGCATAAAATATTAATGAGTTGAGAACTCAAACAAGTAGAATTATTACCTCCCTTAATTCAAAACCAGAAGAATAATTATGATTTATTTGCTGTATTCTTCCTTTATTATTGGTAACCGTTGCATCCTGTATCTACTTCAAATGTTTTAGGTACAAATAAGGCTAACATTCTACTTAATTCTATTTGAGTGATATAAAGAATCCTCCATCATGATTCAACTACGCAAAACTTGATTCTTCTATACTTATATTGTCTTTGTAAAATAAGATGTGTTGAAGGAAAATCCCAGGGAAGCAGAATAATTTAGGAATGAGAAGATAATGCTAAAAACCAACCAACAAACCAAAACACTTGACTAAACAAAAAAAGAATATTGTTACATGTTTAGTTCTTAGTGTTAATTGTGAAAATGCAGAGTTTCTATAGCCAACAAAGGATGTCTGACTACTACCAGCATCTATTTACATCAAGTTTATCCCTTTTCAGGTACAAAAAAAAAAAGTCCCAGAAAAATCCCCACCTGAACTATAGTATGTCTATAAACAATCAACAAATCAGGTTTTAGGGAGCCTTCATTATTTTTTCCTGCACCTCAAGTCAAGTTAAAAAAGCATGGTAAGATGGGCTCTGTGGAGACAGCCAGCACCAGCAGAACAAGATGAGCTACAAAAGACCATCAAACACCTCTCTCCACGATTTACAGGAGTCAAAAGCAGTTTTGATGGCATACAACTGAATGCTCCAAGTGACACCAAAATATTGCTTTCCTGGACCATGCTCACCAGCCACATTTCTATAAAAATAACCAGAATCCTCATGGGAGATAACCCAGAGGTGGGGAATACTGTTGAGTACTTTGGCGGAGGAAAAGCTGCCTGAGACATTCTCAAACAGCATTGCCACAGGGCCTGTACCAACACCCAAGGATTTACTTTCAAAGCAGGTGCTGGGGAGGAGCAAGGGTGCTTTGGACTCAGCTGAACTCCTAGGAATTGGAAGTGTGCCTGTGCCACTGGCAGCAGGAACAATGGTGAGGCAAAGGTAAGTTACACCAAACCCCCAGCCCAACGTACACATTTTTGTACCCTACCTTGTCACAGCAGTATTGCAGTATCGTTTGGGTTTAGTTTTAGACATTACATGTTCCAATGTGAGACCTGACTCCCTTTAGATGAATGCCTTGATAGCTTCAGAATGCCTTGATAGCAAGGAGGTTCACCACACTGTACACACTCCTACCATAGTATTTATTATGCAGCCTGCAGAAATTCTTTTTTTTTTATCCCATGCACCAATATACATCAGTGCACATACACAGCGGGTCATATCATTAGGTTATGCAAGTCCTCTGCCTTAGTGCTCCTCAGAAAAACACCACAGAGAAACTCAGTTTTTGCTAAGAATGTAAGGATGTAAGTCTTCTTTTATTCACTGTCTCTGGCACACCCTTAGTTTATCACAGAGCCTGCACACAGGCTGCCAGGGCAAATTCACACTTTTATATTCCTTTAATTATCCAAGAAATGTTTGTGTGCTTCTCCTTTGTGTGCATTCAGTTTACAGTTGTCATTCATTTTTTGAGAAAGTGCTATAGCTATCTGCTACAATGAAAAATATATCTTTTTATTGTTTTCTAAAACAATGAAATTATATCTAAAATAATTAATGAAATTATATCTAACACTACTGTAGAAAAGGTATGAAAGGATTTTATGAGGAGTTTTATCAGCACATGATCTTTTCAATTATTTCTACAACAGAGCCACACAAACATTGCTGTATATAATTACAGGCAGATACTGGCTCACTGACTTTTAAATTGTTTTTCTGGTTGTGGAAGGTGAAAGAAAAAGGATTCAGAAGCATTTCACAAAAAGTAAGGAGGTTGAAAAGTTAATATTCCATCTAAAGCAAAGGAGAAGCAGATTTTAAATCAGTAGTACACTTCAGGTTATCTGCAAAATAGTAAACAACTTTTAGTATCAACTATGTGGCAGAGAAAAAAGAAACAAACAACCTAAGAATATATTTTACATTAAATAATCCCATGCAAAAGTACCAGCCCTTAAATAAATTACCATGGGAAAAAAAACCTCAATAGCAACTTTTTGTTTGTGGTCAACTTAAAATCATTTCAAAATCTCTGACTTTAGTAGTCACTTCCTTCACTTCTGTCAATGTGACATGCTAACTTCTCTCCAATATTTAATAGCACTCTATTAGTCAGTTGTGTTATCAACTTGGTTACCCTATCAAGAAGTCCTTTTGATGTTTCAACAAACTCCATCCAATCCCCTCAATGATCCTGAAAAATGTAAAAAAAAAAAAATTCAACAAACCAAAATAAAGAAACAATACACCCACATATTTTACTGATGACTGCTCTTTTGTACCTTGTGAACTTCAAACCGACTTTTAAAATGATGACAAAGTTCTTAGCTGTAGATGCCAGAAAACCATTCAGGTGGGTTAACTCCCACCTTTATTAGAAAAGCCTCGCTTCAAGTTCCTATGGGGAAAGAGAACTGTCTAATTTTTTTCCCAGACAAATTATTGTTATTCCCTAGGTTTTAAAAAATCAATAGCAGAACTTTGTGGCTATGCTATGAAAGTTTTTTACTTCTTTTCAATGATGCAGGGAAATATCTGCAGCCAAATTTCCAGATAACTCTCAAATCAATGCTTTCCTCTGCATTTAATACTTGCAGAAATTTACAGACAAGATTTTTCCTTTAAAAACATGTTTTAAACTGCTCCAGTCCTATTTATATTCAATTTCCCTACACTGATTGTGCTTAATAAAACTATTCTATTTCTTCTTATTTAAATGTGATTTAAAGTTCAGGTGCTACACCACTAAGAGCATTATTTAAGTATGGAGTATGCACTGAAAGCCAGCAGTAATCTTGCATTCCACAAAGTCACTGCTTAAGTACTTGCAATGGGGGCAGCAAAGGCTGTTACTTAATGGACAGAGCATAACACAGTCTGTTTCCCTGAAGTCTTTGACCATTCGTCCTGAAATTGTCTACAATAGTATCAATTATACTAAATTTTATTTTGTTACTGAATTCAATCCACACAGACCAACCCCCCAAAACCCATTTACTTTAGTTTTGAATGAACTTAGCCACCTAGAGACAGAACACTTGCTACTGAGCTTCCAGTACCAGCCAGTTCCCTTTAATTTCAGTTCTGCAGACAGTTATTGGTGTAACAGTGAACACAGAGAATCCTTTCACAGTGGAAGCCAGTGAAGCTTTACTGTTCCAAGGAAAAGAATTTGCAGGGCAACATGTATGTGCTGTATTTTATTTAACTTTAAACTTGGAAGCAATAACAGCATTAAGGAAACAAGTACTATGCGATTGCCCTGTTCTCAATCTTCCCTTGGTGTCCATTTCATGCCTCGATGTATTCTGGACAGGATACTGGGCTAGATGGACTCCAGTTCTGAATCAATACAATCACTCTTTTATTTTTATTTAGAGAAGTTAATATCAAACCAAATTACTTAATTTTGTAATTTATTATTATTAATTAACTAAAAAAAAGGATATTGGTACACAAAAAGAAGGAATTAGCTCAAGGCTGAATTCCTGCTAATAATAGTTCTTTCTGTTTGCTTCAAACCTGTTTTCATTTGAGAAAAGAAAAATTTCCAAAAATTAGGAACCTATACCGGAGCACGTTAGGAATAGAATTAAAGAATTTCAGTTTCAAAGGACCTAAAAAGACCATTGAGTCCAACTTCCCAACCACTTCAGGGCTGACCAAAGGCACTGTTCAAATGTCTCTTAAAACCCTGACAGGCTTAGGGCATTGACCACCTCTCTAGGATCCTCTTCCATTGGCTGACCATCAAAATGCTGGTAAAAAAATGCTTCTTGATGCCCAGTCTGAATCTTCCCGGCTGCAGCTTTGAACTGTTCCCAGATGTCCTGTCACTGGATCCCAGGCAGAAATGCTCAGTACCTCCCTCTCCCCTCAGGAAGCTGCAGAGAGCAATGAGATTGCTGCCCAGCCTCCTTTAAATTTTAAATTTTGTCACTTCTCCACAATATAGGAGTTTCGATAGCAGTGTACTATGATATTCCTTCAGTCCCAGTGCTAGTATTTGGATCTGATCCAAACCAAACAAGTACCTAAAATAGTATCTGGAAAGAACTTAAGTGCTCAAGAAATGAATCAGAAATAGAAATTAGAGAAATCAATAATGGAGAGGTAGAATCCTCTCTGCCCTGAGGCAACAGAGCAGACTGCTGCCTAAATCCCAGCACAGTCTATCAGTACCCATAAAACTGTTCTTCAAGCATGCCTTATTGACAGCATTGCACAGAAAGTATGATCATGGTTGTCATGCTTTAAAGAAAACAGTACAACACCCTGAAAGATAAAATGAGGTCTGCTTTCTTCTTTCTCTCCTCCCTCTTACCCCAACAGCTCAGCTATTAAAGCACTTGTGCACAATGTGATAGAACTAGATATAAAAATTTATTCACTTGCGAGAAATAAAAGCAGTATCTAAGTTGAATGTAACCATCAGGCTATTCCCTGTCTTTTCTGTTAAAACCTCAATCCTGTATAGAAAATAACACAGTATTTTAGGTAAGAAACTCCATTATAAAAGACACAACCACGGTTACCTTCTCTTCACATCAAGTTTTGAAAGATTTCTTCAGAGAAAGAGTACGGACCGTAGCACTCATATAAGGAAAGGCAGTTTCCCAGTGGAACAGAAAAAGCTACTGAAGATCAAGGGCTGAGAGTGAATTTCATGTAAGGTACCTTAAACAAACTGGTCAGCTTTTTGACGTTGGGTAAGAAAAATTCAGTGAATTGAGATCGATTCTTTTTTGAGGCACGTAGTTCCCTATGCATTATATTACCACTATAGGAACTTAATCCAACCCATGGAGACAGTCACCTAAAAATAAGCATTACAACACACCTTTTCAGTATCTTTTTGGTTCTGGTCTTTGGTACCATAATATTAATTTCCAAATAAATATGGCATAATATAAATGAAATTCCTTTAAGGAAACCTACTTCTGTACATGACTATTGCAATAGTTGCTCCTGGGATAGCTAACGGCTAGAGCAGGTAATAAAACACACTAGGAACATGAAGCTCCTCATCTTCTCAATATCAACAAACTGCACAAGGGTACCCCTTCGGCAGAAGACTTAAGCCTTAACATGGAGATCAAGCCAAGCACCACATGCTGACCATTGTTTTAGGTAAATTATATAAAGTATGATCACACTTTTATGTGACTGTTTCAGCTACAGTATTTGTTCTGTGTTGTCCCTGGTAACTAATAGAAAGTGATTTCCTCTAGGTTTTGAGGGGATGATTCATTTTAAATTCAGTACTTCCTTAGGGAAATAATGCAGACAGAAGCCAGACGGCCTCTATCTTGAAGAAAGTGTATTCCATGCAGGAAATTCCCAGTACACACACACACAAAGCATGTCTTTCTGTGAAATCACACATCAGAGCCCTTCCCAGCCCTTCTCCTCTACAGACTCTTCACATTAGCTTTACTCACCTCCTTCCAAGAAACCCCCCTTCACAGGGCTCTTCACCTTCGCCTCTTTCCATGTAAACAATTCTCTCCTTTTCTTTCCATTCCTTCTCCCCCCTACAGAAAAAAATACAGAGCCAGGATGTTTCTTCTTTCTACTTAGCTAATGGTTTTGCTACTTCGTTTCCTGCAGCTTATGCCTGTTGGGGCCAGATGCAAACTCCTACTGCGCCTCCACAGTGGCATAAAGTCCTCCATATAACTAACAGAGAATATTCTTAACATCAATATATTGTCTGGATTTTGACAACTGACATATCATGCAAGAGACTGCATGATAGTCACCTATACCTTAAATGTATGTTGTCTTTTATTTCTGCATTCTTCACCAGATGTATGGACATGAAACATTGCCACAAAACAGGAGAAGATTCTGCAGGAAGCAGGAAAGATTTTGTTGATCATTTTAATGGGAGGATTAAGTAAACGATTTGAGGTGTACACTTAAAAAGCTGAGCTTAATAGATGTTCAAAAGACTGTTTAAAAGATAATTTTCTGTTGAGAGGAAGGAGGAATAATCATAGGGTAACTTAGGTTTGAATGACTTCTGGCATCATTTGGTCTGGTCCCAACTTAAAGCTGGGCTAACTTCAGAATTTGTTTAGCTAATTCTCTTTTTTAAGAGAGAAAACAAAATCTGATAGAAGATGAAATTAGAAGAGTTTGGTGAATTTAGATGAGACAATCGAAGTCTGAGAAGGGAGCACAAGTGGCTTTTATAATGTTGCAAGGCCAAAAACTAGGAGAAAAAGAAATAGTCAGGGGAAGCTCACAGGTGGGACAAGAACAAACAAGTTCATACTAGTCATTGAAATTTTTGCTGGAACTTAAAAAAATGTATTGAAACATCACGGAAACAGCCAATCCCCAGTCCCATCCAATTTGAGTTGAGGTGGCAAAACTATACTTGTTCTGCTCTTAGAAGGCTGTTTGGTAAGTTTATTAGAAAGAGCTGATGTTAATTCCAGTTTTGAGGAACTGGACTACAGCTCAGGATGGTGCCTCCAGTTCTGTATTTGAAATAACCTTAATCTGTGATGTTGATGACTTGGAGATTGTTACAGAGTAGTATACACATAACTGCAGAAGTTAATAACTGATACCACCAGAAACACCAGGCAATACAGAAACACAGGTTTGCTAGAAGCAGTACCAAGAATCACATATGTAAGAAGTGATAAGTGTTACATTTACATTTCAGTGCATGAACATAAAGGCAGCAGAAAATTATTTCATAACATAAAATGTTAGATGAATGTAAAGGTAATTGGACCTGTTAGGTGGGTGCTAAGCAGCTGGATCAACCCATGAACAATTGGTAGTGATTTATGATTATAACTATGGGAGTGAAATTTCTTATTTGTAAACTGTCTGTTTGCATACAGAGTTGACAAATTATCCAAGTAACTAAAATGGTACATGGTAATAACAGCTATTTAGCTATATGGATCACCTTTAATCACACATTTATTACTGAAAATGACTAAAGTTATATTAATGTGAGCTGACAAAAAACAAACATAACCTTTAGACAGATTTGGAGCTTTGCTGTAAGCAGATTCTTTTTATTCTGGCTTTTTCCACCACTAAGGCTCAGAGGGGAAAACGAGAATCAGATCCCTATGAAAATCATAGTTTTTCCATTATTCATTGCCTACCAGAAGAAATACAACACAGGAGACATTACATATGTAAAACCAGGTTCATAGGTCAGACATTTGGTAAAGACAGATGTAAAAAATACATTATATTTTTTAAATTGTGTGCAGGCATTAAAGAGAATATTCCTAAAGAGTAAAAGGATATCTTTGTAGAATTTTGAAGAAAATATCTTCCAGATATCATACTAGTAATACTGAAAGCAATAATATTTTTAATCATATTTATTAGAAGAATATTACAATACAAAATGTTGGGAAAGTTACTTGATAACCAAACCAATACTTTGAAATTGTTTTGTTAACAAAAGGATGAAATCATCTTTCTACTTAAATAGAGACACCCAGAACATGAAGTTTCACAAGATAAATATTGAATCTTTTAATCTTGATATATGTACATAATCCACGCATTTCAATACTGACTTAAAACTTGGCAAGAGAACTTTGTGATTTCCCGATCCTTCGTGTACTCATGAATAACAAAAGCACATGTCTGAACTTCCAGATTATTATTCCTTTAAGCTGCCAAAAAGACCATCTTTCTCCCCACGAACTTGAGAGACCAAAGCCGAGAGTAAATGGGACAAGTAGTGAAAGCTGCTTGATACTGAATTATTCCAAAATTTTCCAGTGCAAATGTGTCCCTAATGTACTAGAAAAGTGACTTCACAAATATTACAGGTTCTTGTGTTGAAAAAGAATGCAGGAGGCTGAGCTATATGCTTTTATCTCTTGTAAAAATTTAAGAGATGAGTTTATCTGTCACTTATGGCACCACTAAGTTCATATCTCAGAACCATTTAATAGAAGAATTCAACTGCTGAGATAGCTTACTTGTGAAAACCAAATTCTACCTACTGCAATCTCAAAGCACTTCAAATTAGAAAAGCTGTAACACTCTAAAGTGTTAAGATTGGGCAGTGATCCTCATTCTGCTCAAGGGGCCATCTAGTACTTTCTGGAGGGGCTGCATAATTATGCAGAAAAATGTTAAACTGTATTAGGTTAAATAAAAGCACTAATTTTCTCTGCTGACTGCTGAAAAACCAGACGAGGGAAATGAAACACAGATCTCAAGTAACTACTGAGCTTTACATTGGCAGATACAATCCTTTAAAAGTCCTTTGTTTTGGTGAAAAGGTTGCTGAACCATAGGAAAATTGAGTTCTTGGCCACCTATGCAAATCCCTCTCTAGGATGCCTCAACATCACTTGTTCAAAACAATTCATTAAAATTCTTTCTTTCCCATGCCTGGTAGGTCCAGAATTCAGTTAGTTTTCACTACAGCTCATGCCACTAAGTAATACTTTTCTCTTTGTGCCCATTCTAATCATATGTTCCGTGATCAGAAATATTACATATATATAAAATAAAAGCTGCCAGCTTTGCATTTATTTCAGCTTTCTTTTCTCTATTTACACTAAATGAAATTTTGAGGGGTTCTCAACTGAGTTATCCTATAATTTCACTAACTCTGCAATCTCTTTCTCTTCAAATATCTTAATCTAGGTTTAAAAGCTGATTGTAAAATTGAGAATTTTATATCATTTCTTCAGTGCATCTTGGAAACAGTCCAATCAAAAAGCTAAATCTGTTCTCACTGGCAAAACAGACCTAATATGAAAAGCAAGGAAACGGATTTTTTTTTTTTTTTTGGTCTGTGAATATGAATCACATAAAATCTGTTCTGGATTTAACAAAATTAATTTCTCACAGTATAGAAAGGCTAAAGCTCGTGGTTGAAAACAATAAGTTTGCTTAAAAAAACAATGATTTTGTGGCTATTTTGAGGAAGAACAGTATTTGCAAGTGAGCTTAAGGGCAGTCAGTGTCAAAAGCAGAGACAGATTCTTACTCCCTATCATGTAGCAAAAACCCCTGCTCAAAGGAGGGTCAATGAGCACTAGCTGGGAGGTATTACTCATTTTCAATTGTTAAAACTGTATCCAGACCATAACAGTTTTTTCATTTTAAAGAATACAATGAGTATGCAAAAAGCTTATAAAGAAAACATGAACAGACCACTGATAAACAAAATTTTGAGAATCCCAATTTCAACAATTTTTTGTACTGAACGGTATGGTTCAACAAAACACTGTACAGGACAACTGGATAGTTTTGACTTCAATACTCACCAGCTTTGCAGTTAGGATGGATTGGAATAGAAGTGATCTCCACAGAGAAAAACATTATATCTGCCCTGTTTTCAATAAGAATGGTGTTCTTCTCAGGGATCATGGTTAAGGAGAACTTGCATAATACAGTATTCTCTGCGTCTCATGATGCACTATATCATCCCCAGTCCAAAACTGAAGTAAACAGAGGTAATCCCAGACTTTGTTATTCTATCAGGCTGGGGGTTGCAATTTCTAAACAGACATTACAAAGTAATGTAATTATTTAAGAAAGCAGGAAAAAATCAAAACCAACTGCAACTCAAGCCTAGGCTGACTTCCAGAGGTAAAAATTTGCTAATTCAAATTGAAATGGTTGAAAGGAAAAGAAGTAAATGCATTTGATTTGATTTTATTAAGGTGTCACGCAGTACATAATTTCTTTCACAGAGTAAAAAAGGAAAAGTAGATCTAATATATCTGGAATTCCATTGGGCATTTAACCCATTATCAGATGACATTGCCAAGTTAATAGCTTCAAAACTAAAGTGAGAAACAGTACAAGATTCGAACATTGGGCATAAAAAAGGCCAGACAAGAAACAACTGGTGGTGTTAAACTGAAGCTAAGCAAGAGGGAAACAATGCAAAATCAGTCAAAAATCAGTCTTGGAGGAATACAGTTTTTCAGAGTAGCATGCAAGACAAATTCAGCCAGTTTAAAAATGAGGCAAGATCAGTACCTGAAATGTATTAAAGAAGTTTTCCAATATCAGATAAGATTGGACTTTTTGCTTCTCAGGTTAATTCCAGCCTCATCTTACCATGAAGTGGCTTTAATTTTTTCAGGAAATTGTTTCAGGAGATTGAAAACTATCTTCATTCTCCTTGTGCAAGTCCTTTTTTTTTCATAATAAAAAAAAAAAGGAAATTGCTTTTGACCAGGTCACTAAAAAAAGTAGAAATTTTGAAAATACTTTATAGTCATCTATAAAATTGAATTTATAATAACAATACATCTTCAATTACTCATAAATAAGTCTTTAATTAACTTTTCCATAATATGCTGCCAATAATATAGTCAAATGGAGAGATATTGAGGAAAGGTTTACTATAATTATCACTACATGCATAAAACATTAACTTAAAGCATTATTTGGTCCAGTACATTTGTTAATTTCTATTTCACATGGAAACTTTTTCTGTAACTGAAAGAGGAAAAATAGGATAGCAAAAGAGTAGACACAAAGCTACATTAGAAACATAGACATTTGTTGCCAT